TATATACACACAGTATATATATATATATATATATATATATATATATATATATATATATATATATATAGCGCCGACAATTTATGCAGCGCTTTTACACAGCATAAATTAACATCAGTCCCTGTCCTCATGGGACTTATAATCTAAGGTCCCTATATTCCATGAATACATACAGGGCCGATTTAGAAAGGAGCCAATTTACCTTCCAGCATGTCTTTGGAGTGTGGGAGGAAACCAGAGTACCCAGAAGAAACCCACGCAAGCACAGGGAGAGCATGCGAACTCCTTGCAGCTAGTGACCTGGCTGGGATTCGACCAGTGCTGAAAGGCAGAAGCGCTATCCACCACGCCACTATGCTGCCCAATCCTAATAGAGACAATAAGCTGTAGCGACAGATAAAGTTCTAAAGAATGGGATTTGCAGAAATGTGGGTGGACGTTGAGATGTGTAAATGTTGTTACTATTTAAGTTTTAATTTTAATGGAAGGAAAATGTTTAGACTAGTTTATGGGAAAACTTGCATGTGTTAACTGATTACAGCAAGTTTTATTTTAATAAAGCCTTCCACTAAATACTGTTTTTTTTTTTGGGTGGAGAGTAATGGGTGGTTTTATTTAGAACTTTGTTTATCTCTGTAGTGCCTCCATTTGTACCTAGCATTGTGAAGAAACTCTTGGTATGTTCATGCTTTGTTGCTCCCACTGTTTCATAACCACCGTGTCTGCCATTTACCTGATTTTACTACTACCTAAACCAACTGGAGGGTCATGGATAGGAAAGGGAAACAGTGCTGAACACTAGATCTAGATGAAAAGGCTTAAAAAGACCTGGACATCAACAATTGCAGTAAAAGGGCAAAAAGGAGAATTATTTAAATGCATACGTACTTGCAGCATTTTTTCCTTTTCATGAACAATGTTCTATTGACTTGAAATCTGTCTCTGAACTTGCTAGGGAAGTGTATCCCCAAACAGTGTCAATTCTCTAGCACAGTGACCTCCTTCCTTGCACACCATAGGCCTTTCCTTTTCTGGGAGTGTCTACCTACTGTATGTGCTGACCCAGCTTCTCTATCCTTCCCCCAACTCCCTACAGAAACCTGTGTCATTTGAGAGGGAGTTCTAAATCTGCTGCGGCTGCTGACATCACATCAAAGATGGTGTCATTCAGCAGCAGTCTCACTGTTTTTCTGCTTTTGGATGTTTACACAAGGGATACTTTTACAGGCAAATAACATGTAATATGTTAAATGCACAAAAAATATTATGGCGAGAATGTTGCTGAAATCAATAGTCTGGCTGTAGGGTCTCTTTTAAAAGCTCAGTAAAGTTTTATGTAAGATATTCTATTGGCTTTTACTCAGATTATAATTAAATGGCATAGAGGAGAATTTTATTTTATGGTTTCAGTGGGAACCCTAAAGGCCAGCATTCCCAGCTTTTTAAAAGGATTCTGAGGACATATGTGCATGGGAGTTTTCTGCACAAATAGAACAGCCTATTAAAGCTGAACTCTGGGCACAAATCTTTAATTTAAAGATCACAAAGATATAAAACATATACATATTTTCTATAATATAAATTATTTTGTGTGCACCTTTAATTTAATAATACTCTGTTATTACGGTAGTAGTGACATCATCATTGTGCTACACAGACTGGGCAGAGAGTAGAGCTAGGGACCTAGCAGGCTACAACCACTATAGCCCTTTATCACAGAAAAAAAGGTAATGTTTCAAGCTAGATTACTGCTTTCATCAGGAAGAAATACGCAAAGCACACTAAGATTCAAGTAAGAATGGACATGCCTTCTGTCGTTCGACGATATTTGCTCATCCTGGAATTCCACTTTTAAACAGCATTGGGATACTTTTTTTTAGATGTTCATATGAATAGACAACAATGGTATATTTTGACCAATACACCTTCTTCACAATGTTGTGTGCCACCCAACCACAAAAGCAGGAAAAGTAGAAGGAAGATATAATCGGATTGCATAGATTATGAGCTTTTATTGTTCATCGCCACAGAACAGTGAGCCCCCACTTTCTTATTTATCACCTGGACAGGATGTAAGCAGCATAAATGCAACAAAGCATTTCCCCCATCCTAAGTCTATGCAAAACAAAAAACGTTTGGGCAGAAAGTGACACTAAACTCGGGAGTTAAAACTTATAAGTTCATTCAGTTATCCTATTAACAAAAATGTAACTTGGCTTTAGATCCTTAAATCATCTCTGAATTCTTGCTGACACTGTCCTTTCTTTAAGAGGGTGGCTACTTTTGTTCCCCATCGTCCCTGTGTGTGTTGTAAAGTAGGCACCGCTGCAAGCTTGCTCCTATGATGTAAAACAATCTCATTACAAATTAGCTAAATAAATGTGACATTGTAGTCCATCATGGGAGCGAGCTTGGAGTGGTGGCTACTTTAACACACACACACACACACAATGAGGAATAAAAGTAGCCACCCTTCAGAAGGAAGCACAGTGTTGGCACCAATTCAGAGATGAGGATCTACAGCTGAGTGATACACATATAAGATACATTTTTGTTACTAGCCAAGGTATTTGAATGCATTTTTGAGATTTAACTCCTATGTTTAGCAGATACATAAAGCATAAGGGACATAAACAAAGTCTTATACATTTCTTCAATGACTGCCATCGCCAAGTCAATTTGAGACATAACCCGACTCTCCAAGCTGGAATTTCTCAACTCTTCATGCAATGGAAAAAAACAATAAAATGCATGACAAGTCCTCTGGTGAGACCAAGCCCACCAGTGACCTGGAGTCTCTCCGCTTTCTGTTTTCATTTCTTTGTATACAAACCTTAATTTGCTGCAGTTTTCTGACAGGTCACATGATGTCATGGATTCTCTTTCCATGATGATGACATGTACTGTTAACAGAATTCTCCAGTGAGCCAGAGGCATTGCAATGACGCATGTCCAAGGGTTATGTCCATGAAGTACGTGGCTCACATGAAGTAGGTCTCTATGGACCCGGAAGTGGACCGACACTGGACCTCAGAGCAGTGACTCTGTTGGGGGCAATGCTGTAGAAGAGATGAGTATTGCATTTAGTCCTCTTTTAAGATTAAAAATAAGCTGGTATTGGGCTTAAAAGATGCAATGTTTCTTGTATAGTATTAGCAGTTAATTGATTTGTGTTTAGTTATTGCCTGCAGTGGCTCCTTTAATGTTTTTGAGGAAAGATGGAGAAAAAGCTTAATTAAAGTTTATTTGAATGAATCTGCAGTGCAGTATCGTTCATCACATGAATGATATTAGTTTAGTGCTTTTGTTATCTTTTTTAAACAGTTTTAATGTTCTTATTTGTTTTTTGCTATTTTTCACTCGTAGATTATTATTCTATAAGGCAGAGACAAGGTATGCATAAAACATCTTCTAGTTTTCCTTAAATTGTAGAGAGCCTAATAAAATAAATTACATTAGGAATAATCCACAAGTGATATAAAAGACTTGCAAATTATGTTTTGACGGAAGAAATCTGTGTCCGTATTCCAGAGAAGTAATGAACAAGACTATTCTGTAGGATAATTGCAAATAAATCAATAATTAATGGTTCGCGAATGTGTTAATAGGTTCATTATGTTGATTCACTGTTGCTTCCAAGCCGCATTTGCTTATAAATGTAATAGGAGTGATTACAGCCTGTTTCACTGATACTTATAAACAGAAAAAGAAATTATAGCTTTAAGATTATGTTGCAAACCATTTTTAAAATGGGTGATTTACCATGCTTTTGCTACTGAGCTGCCAGATGCAAAAATATATTTTCTTCTTCTGACCCAAGTACTAAACTGCCGGATAAAATTAAGTTTTCACACTGGCTTCTCAGAACTTAACTCAAGCACTGAAGCTACTTGTTGAAATGTTAGAGGCCTGACATGGAACTTACACACGGATTACACGTAGTGTTTTGGCAGATGTGGGGGAGAACAGGGGAGGTAAATATCACTGTGTGGAAAGGTAAGTATCATTTGTATCGTTATCAAGAGAAAGTGTTATTTTCTGCTTAATAGACAAAGTAACAGATTCATTTAAAATGTTCTCTAATTTGAGACTCTGTATATTTATTTGGAGATCCCAGGGCGGCATTAAAATTCTAATAATGGCTTTACATACCTCCTTTAGAAATTTTCTATCAGGGCTTTTCACCTGCAAGTGTTTACTGAAACGAGAAATATATGAAGAAAGCACTACAGTGAAGGCAAGGAAGTTCTGCTTACAACCACACAATAACATTTTGGCAGGGAATCCAATTCTTCCTTCTCCACCAAAATCTTAAAATAAATCTGGATAGAGTTTCACTTTGCTTATTAATGCGTATCTAAGCCCAATAATAAAAAATATCTAAGCCCAATAATAATTAAATATTTATATCAGCTTACCAGTCCTTCAATGTGGAGGCTGCATTTGTTTTTTGTAGGCTTTTTTTTTTTCTTTTCTTTTTACCTGATAATCCGGCCAATAACACACTTCCTGTCCTAGAGTGACTACACTCCTTCCTCCACTGCATCTATGCACACGCAATGTAGTAACCCTTGGACAGCTGCATTGTCATCCTGTGAGAGGGTAGCATTATATGCATTAGTTTAGATAGACATTACATATGTGACTAACACATTAAAGACTAACTCCAGCTAACCCACAAAAAACGTTTTGGCTTTAGATACACTATACACCCAAATTACAAAATTGTCTAAACTTTTTCCCCATTTATCGAATTTTTACAGGTAGCAAGCTAGCTCACATGAATTCACAATGGAGCATGAATGGAATGAAGAAGATTTTGGCAGTAGAAAGCTTTGAAAGTAGCTTTTGCTATTGCTGAAGGGGAAAAGTGTCAACTAAGATAGGAAAAAATATAAGCAAGACATACAGTGACCGGATCAATACTGCTTGCAATGCCTCTCCCCTGAGATCTATTATATAAGAGCATAATACATAAATTGCAGCGTCTCACATGGTTTTTAAGTATTGCTATTGGATTAATTACCCAATTACAGACCAGTTTTGTGATTCTCAGGACTCGGCTTATTAGGTTTTAGTAACAATTATGAATAGATTGAAATCTTTTTAGGATAATCAATATGTAATTTTGTTTCCTTAGATAAACTAAATCAACAATATATCATTCCCCTCTGTCAGCTAAGTGAGCTCTCTAGTATTTTCCAGCTGACGTGCTGCATAAAGTTACTTTCTTATTGCATGTTAGACTTCCTAAATGGAACAACAGTGATAATTTTAATGAAGTGATTACAGCAAATCTCAATAAAAGTGTTGATGTACACTATTTTCTTTCTGTTTAATAAGACAGTTTGTTCCAAGGAGAATTGGAAGGCTTTAATATTCCACTTTCTTTATTACAGTCAGTTGTGTTCTTGGTACATAAGCTACTTCTGTGCCGGGTCAGCCATAGATGGATTTAGAACCATCTGCAAGGGTCATTATAGCTATGCCCCCCCCCCGCAAAAAAAATTGGTATATTGTACGAAAAGCATTTCCTGCCACAGTATGACAAGGTGTTCCAGTCTCATCTTAGTGTATATGAACTGCCGGGGCTGCATGCTAAACACTATTTACCTGATTAGCTTTTATTTTTCCATGGCTAGCAGGTTGTCTGCTGCTAATGATTGGACATCTTCCCTGGATTACCCCAAAGGGGCCCATCTGGTGACCTGTGCTTTTTGGAATTAAGAAAATGTTTACGATTAAAAAGTATAATTAGCAAAAGTAAAAAATAGGAAAATTAATTTAGCGACACAAACAATGTAGAGTTTTCTAAGCTGCACTAACAAAATGAGCAGTAATTGTTGTGTTGCACCTGTTTGTTTCCCTTGACTTAAAACTGAACTCGGAAACCACAACTTTATTTTATATGTGTGTGTGCACCAAAATGCCTTTGCAAACCCAATGTAGCAATGACATCATCACTGTGCTGTACATAGCTTCTGCAGAGAGCTGGGCCCAGCAGGTTTTTGGGGCCTGTTCACATGATATCAGGTCCGGATCAGGTGCGGATCTGAAGAGGCGGTGCTACTGATGCAGTGCGTTTTGGCTGCGTTTTTTATGCATCCCAGTTAAAAAAAAAAATAAAAAAAATATATATATATTTTTTATTTTTTTTGCTGGAGTGGGGCTGTCAGTATGTTAGCTGCAATGCAGTGCGTTTTTGACGCGGTTTGCGTTTTTGGTCCATTTCCTGACCGTACAAAATGTGACCTGCAGTATTTTTTCTGTCCTAACCTGAACGGACTGCGCACGTGAGAACTGTAGCCCATAAAACACATAGGGATACATCGGGATGCATTTTTAGTGCAGGAGCGTACGGATCAGGTCAGCATGTTTTAAGCCTGAAGATTACTTAAACCCCCCAAAGTTATGTATTTTCTGAAAGTAGAGACCCTGTAGAAAAAAATAATGGCAGTTGCAATTTTTATATCACTCAATATTAAATCTGCTGGTTGTGGCTCCTGGAAATTTTCTAGCTGCTGCTAATTCCAGCCCTAAAGTAGAGCCCTTTATCAAATCTTATGGAGATCCATTTGCTTATTTTAAGCCCAATCAAAACCTTATCCTAAGCCCTGAAGCCCTGATGAAGGGGGAATGTTGTACCGAAACACGTTGGTTGTTTTTTGCTTAATCGATTTGTGAACAATTAAAGGCACATTTGGACTCTTGCCTTTTGGTTCAGTGCCCTTTTTTTTTCTTAGCATTGACTCCAGGAAATGTGTACAGCTCCACATTCATTAGTACATTATTACATCTATTTTTTAATGAATGCAGTGTAATTACCTGAACTTGATCTGTTATCAGCCTCTTGCAATCCCCTGTAGAGCAGAGCTTAGGTTGTCTGAGGGAGAAGCAGCACAAGGAGCCAGTCAGTTGTGATGTAGTGCTGTAAAAAGGACAAAGGCGAGAGCAGGGTGATAAGATATGAGGTTTGCTGCCATTCCTTTGTCCAGTTATAGGCTGGGGGAGGGGCAATACCATTTAAGTGTTACTTAACTGCAGTGGAAAAATCAGGCCAAACAGGACTGAGCTGTGTGGTAGAGTTATGTAAATTTCAGGACTGGATAGACAGAAATACAATTCCTGTGGCAGGTAAACCAGCTCCCTAAATTGTATTTCATCTGTGCACTTTGCTGTCTTTCCGGAGTTCTGCTTTTAGGTTCCTATGTGTGCACATAGAAATCAGTACTATGTGACTGCACATGACACTAAAGTGTGTTTCATGCTGTATTGCCAATCCTTGGGACACACCGGGAAAGAAAATCCAATTATAGATCCTAGAATGGCCTGGCACAACTACTTCATTAAGCATCGAAGATTTTTTATTAAATCTCATTAAAGTAGAAAAGGACCTGCAGCAGTATCAATACACTCCAATGTATTTACATGGCGGCGTTTTGGATCTGCAATCTCAAGCCAGGTTTCAGATTCCAAACGTCATCCTGCAACTACATTGCAGTGTATTTTTACTGCTTGCAAAACCTTTTCTGGTTTTATGTGGTTTCATAAAAGACTGAATGCTTTATGAAGTCCCTGGTGCCAATGCACTTTTGGATTTGTAATTTCACATAGAGCTCAGGCACGGCTCCAGTGTGCCTCAGGTAGCTGTGTTTTATATCCTCTCCCATAATATCTCAATCAAACTTTTTTGAACTCTGTGTATAAAGGAACCAGGTTTACATTCACTTTTTTGAAAGTGTATGTAAACCTTAACAGTAAAGTTTTTATCCTTTTTTGTTCATTTTGGTCTTTTAAATATCCCATTAAACATGTTTTGTTATATCTGTTTGATGAATGGAAAAATACCTGTTGATGCTGCCAGAAATCCAGTGAGCTTGTAGCTACCTGTGCTCTCTGCCGCTGCTGACTTATCAGTTAGCATTGTTTCTAACTATCTCTGTGGTCTACAGAATGCCCCCCCCACCCCAGAAGCGGAGGAGTGGAGGTGATCTGTAGTTCTGCCCAAGAGTGACAATGCTCCTCCTCCTCCATAGATACAGTATGGTGAGTGAACATTGTCATCCTTAAGCAGAGAGTGTGTCACTGGCAGAATCACCAGGTGAATTAAAGAAAACAACATGACCAGGGTAACACATAAGAGCTCCTAACACCCTGCTAAGCCACCCCCCCACCCCCCCCAACTACCACCACACCTTCCCCAAAATAAAAGGACACACAAAATTGGAGATAACATAGCTCTAGCAGCCTTTCTTCTTCTTCGTTTTCTTTTTTTTACAAAATACAATGTAGAAATCACTATACAAATATGCATTTTATTATCCTAGTCAATACTCAGGTCAAGGAAGAAACCCTCACTCTACCCAAATCCATCTCTGCACAATCACTTAAGTAACAGACCCCCAGCTCAGGGAGAGCTGTTGTATTACTACAGAAACCACCTGAACCTGACTACTGGGTCAATCTCTGATTAATTGCAATGTAAACCAAGGACTTTGCCCCAATGACATGTACCCACACCACCTTCACAGACCCCCCAAACTGCACACAAACTGAAACGCCACATTCCATTCCACCCCCAAAAAGAAAAAAAAAGTTTTAATTCCGGGTGAGCGGGATGGAAGTTCACTCGACATGTGCTTACTCCCGAATGGACTTGCAGCTCTCTGCCCCCTCAGACCATCGCAAAATCCCTCCTATACAACCTAACTGCAACCAGTTAGGTAAGGGACTTCCCCACTTAAATGATAACCATAACCCTTCGCCTCCCTGATTCCCCTGTCCACTCTGTTGGCTCTCTGCCTATTCTTTTGCTTGACATCTTGTCCTGGGCTACTTGCCTGGCAAAAAAATAAATACAGCCATCGCTTCTGAGCACTGGTACACTGCAATATTAAAAATTTTTGTTCTTGGATTTAGGCCTTACGCTTGGGCTTATGCTTTAATTAAGGCACTTTGACCATACTTGCATCTTCAATTTGATGTAATGATCCACCACTTCACCCTCTTTCCATTTTGCATAGGCTGCTACAATGTTATCCATGATCTGACATACCTCAAATTAATGATCTCAGGTTAATTTAGAAGTGTTTTTTGCATTTTTAGGGTGATCAGATTTCACATTATCAATTCTTTATGGACTTTGTGACCCCTTTGCAGTATCCACATTTCTGCCATGGAGATGAAAGAGCAGGTCCCAATAGAGGGATTGTGGCTGCGCTGTACAGAAAGTCTCATAGTGTGCTTCTTTCTCTTACCTACTTAAGCTAAGCTGCATTGCCGATTTTAACCTCCTGCTGCTGAGACATTTACCAACTTGCTAGCAATCACCTCATTAGGCCAGAGCTGCACATGAGATTTTTAGTAGCTCAGTGATCACACCATGCTCCAATCACAGGGTGATTGATCACTACAAGATGCTACTGCATGCTATTTGTGTAGCTTAAAAGATATCAAAACTCAAACACAAAATCTAATTTTATTGCAGATTACTACCCCTTAGATGTGGTGATTGTATAAGTTTTATGTTTTCAGCCCTTTTTTTTTTGTTTTGTTTCAACTTGGTGATCCTGCTATTGACAGTCTTAAGATTACAAAATTGACAAATTGTCTTAAGATTACAATGCTCACACACCAAACCCTATGAAGGAGCATCATTCATCCGGCACTCCTGATTTGGACTCAAAACACCTTCCTGTCTCCTCGGCTTCATAAAGCTGTTCATACACCTTACAACCATCACACGACTTTCATTGTGAGATGGTTGTAAGGTGATAAAAATTTTGTACGATCTGCCCATCTTGGACAGGCAGATCGTACTTGCGATCATCGCAAGCCCTCCCCGCTGAGGAGAGGAAGATCGGATTAAAGGGTTTCTAAACCCTCCGTTTCTTTTGCCTATATCTACTGCTAGCAAGCAGTAGATATATGCAAAAAGTTTTAAAAAAAAACAAAACGCTTTAACAGCAGTTTAAACTTACCCCGTTTTGCCGCGCGCTCCTGCACGAGAATCCGAAACTGCTCGGGCGGCCGCAAAGCATCCTGGGGTGGGTGCATGCGCAGTTCGGATTTT